ATGAGGAACCGGGATTTGCACAGCAGCAGGCTGGGCGTGCGGGATAACTCCAACGGTAACTCCAGGCGCTGGGATTGGCTGAGAAGTGTTTCCCTCGACTGCGTTGTTGAAGTTCAACGGCATTCCCTGAGAATTCGGAATTGGGACCAAAGGGATGGCAGTAGACCCTTGTCCATTGTTGTTGATGACAGCGGCGGCTTCACGCTGTTCTTCCTCTCTCCTGGCTGCGAGGATGGCTTCGAGGATCTGGTCGATCTTTCCTTTCATGGAATCCAACTCTTCCCTGAAGGCAACTTGCTCCTGCTGAATCTGCTCCATCATTCGTCTGGTATTGGCTCTAGTTGCGTACTGGTGTCGAGGAATCAGCTTGATTTACTGGAGAAGAAGGAACGGAGACATAAGATTCTGTTGAAGGACTGGCAATGCAAAATGCACAACATATGAAATGCAATGCAAATTATATGCAAGATGCAATGCAAGATACAAGATCCAGGATCCCAAGATCACAAACAAACAACTCCTGAAGCTGGTAACTGTAACAGATAAGTAACCACAATTCCTGCTCAAAGAACATGACAGGTATAACCTATACGGGAAGGTCTAAACATTCTACCCATAAACCCTCTCACGGGATGGTTTCTATGTTTGGTTCCCAGGATCACGGACACTAGTCGTATTAGCGTCACGCAACAGGCTGGCTGCATTACGACGATAATGACGATAAGGTCTCTCCTGAGCGGAGTCCTCGTGCTAGGCACACAAGGAGCGAGTCCTTGGAGACTAACACTACACGACCACCAATATCGTAACTGGTGCTAACAAAAGGTTCCCAGAATCACGGACCCTTCATTAATCAAGTCGTGCGACAGGCTAGCTGTGTTACAACGAGATCTACGAATAGGTCTCCTCTGGAGGAGCTTTCATGCTAGGCCCACAAGGAGCAAGTCCTTGGAGACTAACACTACTCGACTACCAATTCTAAACTATGTGTTCTCTCTGCTTTTACCAAAGCTCGGGTGTAGAGCTTTACTCATGATGTCATCCCAAAAACCAATAGGCAACCAAGATAACAAGCACAAATAAAATCCACAAGAGAACAAGTACGTAAAAAAGAAGAAAACAAATAAAAACAAACACTCCTCACAAACCAAAAGATAGGCTCGACTCTCTCTTTGCATGGAGCAATGCGTCCCCAGCAGAGTCGCCACCTGTCGCACCTCGAAAAATCACATTCGAAAATACGACCCTCGCGCGAAAGGCGCGGAAATGCGGTTCGACAGAGTCGCCACCGAACTTTATTTTTCCCGAAATAAACGGGAGAGGAAAATATCGAGAAAACCTCTTAAAACGAAAGGATAGGAACAGGGCTGTCGCAACCAAGTTCCGGGTTCGGGAGTCGGTTACGTGAGGGGAAGGTATTAGCACCCCTCACGTCCGTCGTACTCGACGGGAACCTCTTAAGGTAATTGTGGGGAGTGTTGTTTAGGTTTACTGGTTTTCTTCTCGTTGTTAAAGGTAGAATTGGTAGGTTAAAAAGGTTAAAGACGCTAAGGAGAGATGGGTGGTTAGAGGATAGGGTGCTCGCCAAGGATTGGGGCCCTTGTGCCTACGTATGCTCATTCGGACGAGAATGAGAAATCAGAGCGTCGTAGTTCGACTACGGGAAAAGATGGGGGAAAATGGAAGATGGAGGGGATTGTGCTCGCCAAGATCATCGCAATCTTGTGCCTACGTATCTTGTATTCAAGAATGAATAAAGAATCAGAGCGTCCGTAGTTCGTGGAGACAACCACGAAAAGATGAGGTTTGAATTGGTTTGACGTTGAGTTGAGAGACGAAAGAGTGACTGACAAACAACCTAAAGGCGTGCCTCAAGAGCTTGTCACTCAAGAATTCAAGGAATGCGGGATCCCAAGAACTCAGTTCTTTCGGAAGTTGGGTTGAATGAGTTGAAGATAAAAGTTGGATATTTTGAAAACGAAAGAATGAACTAATAACAACTCGGGGGCGCGCCCAAGAGCTACTCGTTCGAATGTTCAAAGAATGCTAGATTCTAAGAATATCCCTCTTTCGTAAGTTTTTAAAAAAATGCCTTGTGAAAGGATCGAATCGAAGAATGGCATGCGAGGCCAAAGGAAGTTGGTTTGAAGTAGCTCGACGACGTGTCGAGGATTTGTTTGAAAATAGAACCGACTTGACGACGTGTCAAGGGTTAGATTATGAGAAACGATATTGGTCCCTAAGGGTGCCTCCAATATCGAAACCACGAGAGGTTGTGAATGTGTGCGAAATGTGGGTTGCGAATGCGTACGAGCACTCGACTTAGGAGAACGTTGGAAGATGTTTGAGTTTAAAAAAGTCGAAAGGTTGAGTGAATAACAACCCAAAGGGCGTGCCTCGAGAGCTATTCACTCGAAAATTCAAGGAATGCTAGACTCCAAGAATCTCCTTCTTTCGAAGTTTGAATCGAAAAAAGATATTTAAAAAGGTCGAAAGATTGAATGAATAATAACTCAAAGGGCGTGCCTCGAGAATTATTCACTCGAAAATTCAAGGAATGCTAGACTCCAAGAACCTTCTTCTTTCGAAGTTTGATCGAGAACATGCTTGAAAAAGATTTGAAGTGTAAGTGAAATAGTCTCGACTAAAATTATCATCTATCAATAATTTGACCGATAATAATTATTAAAGTCATCATTGACTAAAATAAGCAAGAAATCGATAAAGATCGAAAATGAAAGAAGTTAAAGAGAAAAGGGTCTCGGGTTTGTCACTACTCGTCAATAAATTGACAAAGTTATGACTTGGGGTATCGTCATCGACCCAAAACAAATGAGAAATGGGACAAAATGTCCAATGACAAATGAGAAATAGTTCAACTTCTAAAATAAAATAAACTTCTAACATTATAAATTTAAAAAAAAAACATTATAAAAACTACCTACATAATATAATAAAATTCGTTTTAAAACTAATATACAACATGTTTATACAAAAATATAAAAGAAAATATTAACAATAAAATATCATTTTTTTTAAGGAAATAAATGAAACAGGGGGTAAGTACAAATTCAGCGGGTGTATGAAGACAAAACAACAAGGGATCATTTGGGCCTTGAGGGCCCATCACCTTTCAGTAGAACCCGAAAAAAGGGGGAAGGGAAATGAAAACGGGGGGTGAATAGATGAGCTTCAATCAAAAGCCTCATCAGTCCATTACTAGCAACACAAACAATTTAAATGAAATAAATAATAAAAAAAGAAAATAAATAAAACAAAAAAAATAAAACGATACATTGACAAAAACAGAAAAGAAAAAAGGATCCCAAATCAAAATCCTTCACTCACTCGTTCTCCGCTTTGAATCTCTCTCTCTCCCTGTTTCGCTACCCCCGCCGTCAAGCTCATTCTCCTTCGTCCACGTTCGAATTTTGCTCACCATGTTCTTCTCTCTTTCTCATAATTTCTGGTTTTTTTGAAGTTTTGAATAAAAGGGGTTTGGATTTATGGTTTATTCTGAGAGACGGGTTTGGGTTTCGTTAATATTGAAGAAACGGGTTTATGAGTCAGAAGAATTTATTTTGAGGTTTCTTATTGCAGGTTGAGGGGTTATTGCAGAGAGAAGGAAATGGATGAAGGTGGGGTATTTGTGTTTAGGGATGAAGGTCGCAGGTTTTTGGATATTTTGAGGGAGATAACGGTTAGTAAAAGGAAGAAATCTGATGGTGACTCCGGTTTGGTGGAACGAGAGAGGAGTTATGGTTTTTGGCTTGATTCAATCTTCGTCTCCCCTTTTTTGAAAGGTTCCAGTTTATTGAAGATGATTTGAAGGTTTGGCTTGCTTCTGTTGTGTTGAAGCTTGGAGGCGGATTAGGGTTAGAGCTGCGGCTATAGATTAGGGTTTTTTTCTCTCCCCCTTTTTGTCACCTTCTCAAGGTCCTCTTATAGGATATATGAGGGGTACGTTTGAAAGAGAGCTGAGAGGGATTTTGCTGCCGTTTCGTTTATTTTCTGTGCGTTTGGGATTTTTCTTGTTACGGTGTGGTTGCGAGTCCTTTTGCAGAATGCGTGGAGCGCAACATTTACAGAGTGAGCTCTCCTTGCTTTTGTTCGTACCCTGATTTTCTTTGCTATGCTGCGGCTGTTATTGTTGGTGTGCAAGTTGTCCTTTTGATTCCTCGTACTTTTGCAGGTACGGTTTTGGAGGTGGCTGTGGATGTTATTGTAGGTGGATGAAAAACCAAGCTGAAGGCACATCACGTAGCTGGACCTCACGTGTGTACATTATCCTTGCTAGTGTGGGTGGTATGGTTTCCGTTGTGTATTTGTGTAGCAACTGTTACCTTTCATTGCCTTTGGTTGTCACTTATTAAAGGATACCATACTGATGCATACAGCCTTGTGGGGTCCCTTAGTGAGGAGGTACGTACTATGCATAGGGCCAATATTTGTTGCTGCTGCGTTAAGGGCACTACTTTACTCCCCATTTCCATTAAACCCTTTCACCTCTCACTCTTTTCTAGCAATGATTTGAATTTATTCGGGTTATGCCGCAGGTACAGGTCTCGGTAATGCTATGTGGTGGAATGGGTGGGACAAGTTATTTTGAATTGCTTTTCGTGAGAAAACTTTTCAGTGTGTGTAGAGGTTTCATCATATGGTTTGAGGTAATTTGGAAAATGTCCTCAAATTATTTTTTTGCTGCCTGCTGTGGATCAATTGAACCGTAATTCTGCGCATTGCTTGGTTCGTAACATTGTCTTTGCTGTAATCTTCATTCTACAGGTGATGCAGATCTCTCATAGTTCACAAATTTATTGGTCCCGGGTGAAAAATCACTGATAACAACAATAGTCCCATGCGCGACATTGTGTAACCACGCTGAAAACGGTTTACACATGAGGTTCGTGTTTGTTGTCATACGAATGATTCTCTTCTTTGTTATGCTACCATTAATTTACTCCTGCTAATACGTTTTTTCGTGCATAATAAGAACGAACATGACCATTGAATTTGGAAGTTTGTTACTGCGGATCAGTTGGATAGCGGTAAGAAATGAAGCTCTTGTTGTTCATTCTGTAGCTTCACTAACTCAAATCAAATCCTGACGAATTGAGGATTGTGTTGCCACGCTAACACATACATTAACTAGCTCACAATGTGGCAAGGAAGTTTTGGTGAAAATGATGTCTTCCTCTAATTTTCTTGCAGGAAACTTATTGGATTGACAATGAAGATGAAGAGAGAATGAGGAGCTAGAAGTCAACACCCTTCTATTATGATTGTAGCAAGACACCAGGATGAGAATGGCTTGTGAGGATGGTGGTAAAGCATAACGTTCTTTTGGCAAGGACTTGGCAGTTGGTATTTTGCCAGTCCTTTATGCGTTTGAGTGCTAATTGTTGCTTCTCATGTTGAAATTGTGCAGGACCTTGATGTGATGAAGCTTGAATAAAAAGTTTTGTGGAGATGACAGCATGCTGTATTGATACGTATTGGTCCTCTTCTCATGTAGTAACTGAAGATCTTTATTTTAATGCTTTGTGATTTTTCAACGATACTGTGGACTGGAGCTGGATGTATGCGCAGAGTTCTTTCATTGTGAATCATGAAAGGGCGGCCGCGAGTTATTTGTTGATATTCTTCGCGTTTCGCGGCTGAAATTGTGAAGCTACTATGGCACTGTTTCAACTCTGTTTGTTAATCTTGTGTCTTGTTATTGCAGACCATGTTGCTATCATCATAACATTGAGATATCGTCCTCCCTTTGTGATGAAAATCGACCATTTCGCCAAGGTCGAATATCGATGATGACTCGTCTTCATGGGATTCTTCAACAGGAATTGGTTTACTCCAACTCTTATCACTTTTGTAATCCTCGACAGATTCTAGACTATAGTTAACATTTTATCTTGTTTGTAAGGTCTTGGAACCTTAATCTCAAAACAAACATTACTGTAATATTAATTATTGCTTTTTATGGAATGTTTGGAAGAAGTGGAGCCAAAAGCTAATAATGTTTTAATACTAGAATTGCTGTACTGATCAAGAACTGAAATGTAGCATCATAGCTACCACCGTCATATGTGAAACGTACAATAGATGTACACCACCTGCTTTGCCAAAACGCTTGGCCCAATAGGCACCAATATGCTTCACATGATTCTTTAATTAAATTTGTCACACACTTGTAATAACTTAAGATAAACCATGAAAATTCGTGGCCTGAAACCAATCCTTACAAAATTGGTGTGTGATTAATTGATCTCTGCTTGCGACAAATTTAGATTGTGAATCTTGAATGCAAGTTGCAAATATACACTCACCCTTGAAATCATTTTCCTTAATCTCGGACCAAAATGAATCACATTTGATAAAATTTGAATTTCAATGTTGATGCCACCCTTACATTGAAGCTAGAATCCCCCTTTGAAATTACTGAACAATGTTTCAAAATAACTCCCAGAAACATCCACAATCTTGAATCTTCACCCGAGGCTGAATAAAGACATAATTCCACATTTAGACAATCAGAACCATTTTTACACCAAGGCTTTGAATTATTTGATCCAATGTAAACTCAACATAAACAAATCATGCACTTGGACACTTTTTAGCAAAGTCATGACCACATATGGTCGTACTTTGATGAATGGATCCACAAACGAATCAATCTTGAAGGCGAGCAGAAGCAACATATTTTTGGATTATAATAACTGGAGGGCGAATGTACGGAATGAGAGCTGTACAAAGATAGGACAAATTTGGGGTATGACAATACGTTGTCAGAAAAGTCTTTTCAGGAGGAGCGTTATTGTTGTCCACCATGGACTGTGAAGACTTTATGTCGCCTGTAAATTCGGACGCAGTTAAAAAATACTTTGCTTGAAAATTGACCCGCTGGACAGAAAAAAAGAGAGTCCAGGCAAAAATGGGGCATCCTGGCGAACCAAAAACAGAATGAAGGGTTCGGGCAAAAGTTAGGGATAAAATTGATAAAATGTACACCCGCGAAGTTGAAAACCTACACTGGGCGGCTTCGGCAAAAAAGGGTATCCCGGTGAACTGAAAACCCGTAAAGGGCGGTTCACGCAAAAGTTAGGGATTTGAAAAGCAAATGACTGCGGTCCGAATTTGATACTGCATTGAGCATCAGTGCGGGAGAATATACTCGAGGGGTCAATTATCAGATACAATCTCTTCGGAAGTGTGGATACTGGGAAAGCATTAGAGTCGGACGAGTCATGGGAGGATCAGTTCGTGGTGTTCATCTGCATCCCGTTGCCGACATGTGTACAAATTTAATGCTTCCTGTGCATACTTGTATATTTGCTTTGCGTAGCTTCCTCTTTTCAGGAGTTACATCCCGTGTACAAAACTCCGCCCATTCAGGGGCTCAATCAATAAAATATGTTATTCAGTATTCGATGCTGGCTCTTTACTGTTTTGTGCATGATAAACGCCTAAGTTTACTGAAACTAGCACGCGCATAACGTCATTGGCCCTTGCCAATAATTGCTAAAACTTTGGATTAACTGGAAATAATGTCACTAACGCTAACCTAAATAGATTTGGTTGCATAGGCTTGTCTTGTCTTGTTCGTGTTGTTGCAGGATTCATAGCCATATGAAGAGGACGATCAAAAGATTGCAGTAACGAAAGGCTTAATCCCCACGCAGGTCACGCATGTTCTTCCTGAAGAAGGATCAAATTCCCCGGCTAGTCGTAGCTCATCCAAAAGGGCATTCTCCAGCTAAGTCGTTTATCCTCAGCAGAGTTTGGCGATTCGAAGATTATAAGGCTTTATTCAGACAGTGCATCTCAAGCAGAGTGGTTTAGCCTCAGAAGATTAATATTTCCAATTGGTGAGCTATATTCAGACAGTTTACCCTTTCCCCGCAGGGTCATTTACTCTCCCCTAGCGGAGTCAGTGGGTTTTCCCCAAGAGAATCATCCCATCCCCAGCGGAATTATCTTATCAGCAAGTATTTTCATTCCTCCCAGTGGAACTCGAAGATTAAGACTCTCCCCGGCAGAGTTGGTTGTGCGTCCCGGCATTTATTTTGCCAGAATACCGTGTGACATCCGGTCACCCTCCCGCAGAAGTTCAATCATACTAGACGCATCTGCTATTCTCTAGCAGAGTTATACCTCCCATCAGGGTGTTACTTCAATGAAGTGTTTGGTTTAAGCTCCCAACTCCCCAGCTGAGTCGACTTCACTCTTCCAGCATTTATTTTGCTGGAATAATTCTGTAGCACTTGGCTATCCCCAGCAGAGTTGGCATTATCTTCAACATTTATTTTGCTGAGGCAGTTTCTGTATCCCAGCAGTTCGAGTCTGCATTAGCATCGGCATATAGTGTCATATTTGCATCCACCCAAATAAAAACGTGTAGCATTTCCATGTCGAATGGAACATTGCATCGTTATCAAACATACGCATTTTCGAAACATGAACCAGGTTGGCTAACCGTTTGTTTCAAGTATTGCTCTCTTACAGGTGGAAGGATCTCTTGCTCAATGAATTACTAAACATTCGAGGTCTCGACGTGAGACATTCAATGAAGTGTCAGCTGTGACACTATTCCCCGCAGAGTTATCATGATGAAGTTCTCTTTGTTGCCGAACAGAGTGATTTGTGAATTTCTCTGGCGTTCCCCGCCAGAGTTAGTAGGTAAAATTTCTCCTCGTTCCCAAGCAGAGTCTATTTGTCAGCAAAGGGTTTCATGAATCAGAATTTCAGAGGTTGCTGCCAGTTATCAGAACAGGCATCCGGTAGTTTGGTTTCCAAATATCCCCAAGAGAGTCCGCTTCAAAGTCGCTGTCACGTCAGTGCTAAGAAGTTTGTGGTTCGGGACCAATGGAAGGATGAGTCCTGACGTGAACCATTTTATTGACAGGTTTTCTTTGTGCTAGAAAAGTGGGGGGTCCTAACGTGGACAGATTTATTTCCTCATGGTTGATGAGAGGTGCTAGTCCTAACGTGGACAGGTTCGATTTTTCAGAATTGTTAGATAAGTGAAGTCCAGACGCGGGCAGTTTCATTTCCTCAAGTTGACGATGCGTGCTAGTCCTAACGTGGACATATTTGATTTTCTTGGTATTGATTGAATGTGAAGTCATGACTTTGACAAAGTTGGTTACTCTTCGTGTTGGTGTCCTGACGTGGACCATTTATTTCCAGCAGATAGCTTTATTCGTAATGGTGAAATGTGCGTCCTGACGTGGACAAGTTTGTAGTTCTTTGTGATGACAAGATGCGAGAGTCCTGACGTGGACAAATTTATCCTTCTTCGTGTTGTTGGCAAAGTATGAGTCCTGACGTGGACAAAATTTTATTTCCTCAGCAAGTCAAGAAGTGAGTCCTGACGTGGACAAATCAAGACGAAACGTGAGTCCTGACATGGACAGGTTTATTCCTTACGTGGAAAGAGAAGTTTTAGTTCCTTACGTGGAAAAGCAAGTTTATTCCTTACGTGGAAAGCTTGGAGTCCTTAAGTGGACAGATCGAGAACTTTATTCCTTACGTGGAAGAAGATTGGTTTCCTTACGTGGAAAGGAGGTGGATTCCTTACGTGGAAAGATGAGTTTATTCCTTACGTGGAAAGATTGAGTCCTTACGTGGACATATCGAGTTGGAGTCCTTACGTGGACAAATCGAGATTGTGGTTTCCTTACGTGGAAAGATGTGATTCCTTACGTGGAACAAGTGGGAGTCCTTACGTGGACGAATCAAAATGTGTTTCCTTACGTGGAAAGATAGCATTCCTGACGTGGAAAGATTGATTCCTTACGTGGAAAGTTTAGTCCTGACGTGGACATATTTAGAAGAGAAGTTGGTTTCCTTACGTGGAAAGAGGTGATTCCTTACGTGGAAAAGAAGAGGTACTCCTAACGTGGAAAGATTTTATTCCTGACGTGGAAGAATTTAGTCCTGACGTGGACAGATACAAAAGAGTTTATTCCTAATGTGGAAAGGTGATTCCTCACGTGGAAGAATTTAGTCCTGACGTGGACAGATACAAAAGAGTTTATTCCTAATGTGGAAAGGTGATTCCTCACGTGGAAGAGTTTAGTCCTGACGTGGACAGATACAGAAGAGGTGTTAATCCTAACGTGGACGGTGTTATTCCTAACGTGGAAGAGTTTAGTCCTAACGTGGACGATTTATTTCTAATGAGAGGCTGACGAGCCATCCCCAGTGAAGTTGTCGAGGTTTTTTCGAGTTGACGGCAGGAGGAGTCCTAACGTGGCCAA